CCCCCTCCCCCCTCCTCCGAGAGCCAGAAGCGGCTCTCACAGCTGGGGGGCCAGGGATCCGAGCGACCTCCCTGCCCCACCCGGACCCCTTTGGGAAGGGCTGCCACAGCAGCACCCCCTGGGGCGAAACCACACACACACAGACACACGCTCAGGGGAGGACACACACACACACACCCTCAGGGGAGGACACACACACACACACACTTACACACACCCTCAGGGGAGGACACACACACACACACCCTCAGGGGAGGACACACACACACACACCCTCAGGGGAGGACACACACACACACACACACCCTCAGGGGAGGACACACACATACACACCACACACCCTCAGGGGGGACACACCACACACACCACCCGCGGGGAGGGACACCACCACACACCACACACACCCTCAGGGGAGGACACACATACACACACACCCGCAGGGGAGGACACACACACACACACACACACACCCGCAGGGGAGGACACACACACACACACACCCGCAGGGGAGGACACACACACACACACACACACCCACAGGGGAGGACACACACACACACACACACACACACCCTCAGGGGAGGACACACACACACACCCTCAGGGGAGCACACACACACACACACACACACCCTCAGGGGCGGACACACACACACACACACACACACACCCTCAGGGGAGGACACACACACACCCCCTCAGGGGAGCACACACACACACACACACACCCTCAGGGGAGGACACACACACACACACACACCCTCAGGGGAGGACACACACACACACACACACACACCCGCAGGGGAGGACACACACACACACACCCTCAGGGGAGCACACACACACACACACACACCCTCTCAGGGGAGGACACACACACACACACACCCTCAGGGGCGGACACACACACACACACCCGCAGGGGAGGACACACACACACCCCCTCAGGGGAGGACACACACACACACCCTCAGGGGAGCACACACACACACACACCCTCAGGGGAGGAGGCACACACACACACACACCCCCTCAGGGGAGGACACACACACACACACACACACACACCCTCAGGGGAGCACACACACACACACACCCTCAGGGGAGCACACACACACACACCCTCAGGGGAGGACACACACACAGGACACACACACACCCCCTCAGGGGAGCACACACACACACACACACCCTCAGGGGAGGACACACACACACACACCCTCAGGGGAGGACACACACACACACACCCGCAGGGGAGGACACACGCACACACACACACACCCTCAGGGGAGGACACACACACACACACACACCCTCAGGGGCGGACACACACACACACACCCGCAGGGGAGGACACACACACACCCCCTCAGGGGAGGACACACACACACCCCCTCAGGGGAGCACACACACACACACACCCTCAGGGGAGGAGGCACACACACACACACCCTCAGGGGAGCACACACACACACACCCTCAGGGGAGCACACACACCTACACACACCCACCACACACACCCTCATGGGAGCGCACACACACACACACACCCTCAGGGGAGCACACACACACACACACACACCCTCAGGGGAGGACACACACACACACCCTCAGTGGAGGACGCACACACACACACACACACACACACACCCTCAGGGGAGCACACACACACACACACACACACACACCCTCAGGGGAGCACACACACACACACACACACACCCCGGCCCAGCCTCACGGAGCTCCCCGCAGGAGGTGATGCACGCCCTCCGGCAGACCTGGCACCCCGGCTGCTTCCTCTGTGCCGCCTGCAAGAAGCCCTTTGGGAACAGCCTCTTCCACATGGAGGACGGGGAGCCCTACTGCGAGAGAGGTAGGCTCTGTGCTGGCCCCGCCCCCTCCCTCCCATTTCCCCTCCCCTCTCCTTTCCTCCTCCCCCTCCCCCTCCCCCTCCGCTGACCCCCTCCCCCTCCCTCCTCCTCCCCCCTCCGCTGACCCCCCTCCCCCTTCTCCTCCACTGACCCCCCTTACCCCCTTCTCCTTCCCCTGTCCCCCTCCACTGACCCTCCTCCCCCTCCCCCTCCGCTGACCCCCTCCCCCTCCCTCCTCCTCCCCCCTCCGCTGACCCCCCTTCCCCTCTTCCCCCTCTGCTGACCCCCCTTCTGCCCTTCCCCCCTCCCCTTTCTCCCTCAGGCAGACAGAGGTAGTTAGGGGTGATCAGGCAGGAGAGTGGTTAGGGGCAATCAGATAGGCAGGTGAGCGGTTAGGGGTGATCTGGCAGGCAGGTGAGTGGTTAGAGGAAATCAGGCAGGCAAGCAGAGGTGGTTAGGGGTAATCAGGCAGGCAGAGGTGGTTAGGGGTGATCAGGAAGGCAGGTGAGTGGTTAGGAGTAATCAGGTAGACAGGCAAGTGGTTATGGGCAATGAGGCAAGAAGACAGAGGTGGTTAGGGGAGATCAGGCAGGCAGGCAGGGTGGTTAGGGGCATTTAGGCAGGCAGGTAAGCAGTTAGGAGCCAGTACTCCCGGATTGCAAGAGGGATGTCTGACTGCTGGTTTAGGCCTTATCCCACAATCGGACATCTCCCAAAAGGTCCTGGATTTCGAGAGGGCTGAGGGACCCCCACCCACTCCATGCACAAATTTCATGCACTGAACCTCTAGTTGCCTGATAAAGCACTAAGCCATTTTTCAACACAGAGCATGTGATTTGATGAATGGAAATCCTTTTACAATAGCAATAAACCCATTAAATACAGGGTATGAAAAACAATGATAGTTCAGTCTTGGAGGGATTTCACAAAGGTTAATTTCACTCATTGATTTATTGATTCATTGGTTGATCCATTCACTCATTCATTCAACACATATGTGCACCAGGCACTGAGCTAGGGTACAAAGACCTTGACACTGAGATACCAGTAAATAGTATCATCTTCGTGAGAATGCTTGTAAGCTATAGAGCATATACAAATAATATTTGTTTTTATTATTTCCTTGGCAGCGCAGAGTGGGGCGGGGGGTCTGGCGTGGGAAGGGGAAGGATATGTGTCCCAACAAAGTAGCTCAATTATTATTTCCAGGATTGAAAATTTGCTATTAAAACAAATGCCCAATAACAAGACGGACAAAGCAGAGAACATTCTATCGCCTTTACAAACGTTAAGGACTCTCGTTCTTCCGAAATCAGCAGAGTCGCTGAGGAATTTTTTCCTTTTTCTGTAAGAGGAACAGAGGCGGAGGAGAAGCGCAGTGCAGAAAGTGAATGAGAGTTTGAAGAAGTGCACAGGGTGCTGAGCCTCAGCCTGCACGATTCCAGTTCTTATTGGAAAAGGAAAAATAAATCTTGTAACTGAGTGCTTTATCTGCAAAATGAGAAGTAACCAGTTGTCTCCCCCACGGCCCTGGCCCTGGCCGGGGGCTGGCTGGCACTGGCCGGGAGGATCCTCCTCGCTGGATGCTGTCCTCACTCTGCCTCTCCTTTCAGACTACATCACTCTGTTCAGCACCAAGTGTCACGGCTGCGACTTCCCCGTGGAGGCTGGGGACAAGTTCATCGAAGCCCTGGGGCATACCTGGCATGACACCTGCTTCATCTGTGCGGTACGTTTTCGCCCGGGCTCTGGCTTTCTGAGGAGGGGCCTCGGGACCCAGAGGGCGGGACCCACGCTCGGCGTCCTCCCAGCTCTGGCATGCTGCTACTCTGATTGTTATGAAAGCTGGCAAATCCCACGGTGCCTTGCACGTGGTAGTTGAACAAAGCTTTTATTACTAATAGTTTTTGTTAACCAGTATGGCTCTGCGACTGTCCATTTCTTAAGGACCGCAGAGAGCCCAGGCTCCGCCTCCCAGCAGTGAGCTGGGCTGAGTTTAGAGACAGGTGCTCCCGTGGCCATACGTTGTCTCAGATAGGATGAAGCGATTCGAGAGCTTCCCCTAAACTTTCATGGGATCGCTAGATTGAGCTTATTGACTGTCCTGTGAAAAGCTGAGATACAGTTTCTTTTGATACAACCTTTAGAAAGTAGGATTGAATGTCATTTCATTTCCTAAATGGTCTTCTTGGTGTGTAGTTGCCAGAGATAAGCCCTAGTTAACTGTTCACCATGTGCCTGTATTTTGCTGAACGGCCCTGTCATTTTTATCAGGGAGGTTGGCATTCTCCTTCCCAGGGCTTTGGGCTGGGGTGGGGACACTGCAATGAGCCTGCCGACATTTCACTTCTGCATTAGAGTCGGAATAGCCAACTTAATTTGGGAAAATTAATGTGCTACTACTATTTTTTTCCTTTTTATCAGAGCTGATCAAGGTAAATTTTGGGGATGTGTAGTTTAAACTTGAAGTGTTTTTATAAACTTATGACATAGGACAACCCAAGACATAAAGTTTATTGCTATACACGTCAGGTTTTACAATTCATTTCCATACTGCCCCCTCAAATTAGTGGAATGCACTGTATTCTCTGTGTAGCAGTCTGCTGGGCCGACCATAACCAAGGCCCATAAACCAGCAGAAACGGATTCTCTCGCAGTTCTGGGGCTGGGAGTCCATATCCCAGGTGTCAGCAGGGCCGTGCGCTCTCTGCAGCTCCCGGGTCCTGCCTGCAGTCCTCGCTGTTGCTTGGCTTCTAACTGCGTAACCGTAGTCTCCAACCCCATCATCACATGACTGTGTGCCCTCGTGTGTCTGTCTTACATGGCATTCCCTCTGGGTGCTGCTCCTCTTAAAAGGACGGTGGTCCTGCTGGATTAAGGGCCCACTCACTCCAGCATGACCTCTTCTTAACTGACCTCTTCATCGCATCTGCAAACCCCATTTCCAAACGAGATCACTGCTGCTCCCTACGCTGGGTGAGCTGGGGGCTGGGACTTCAACAAAGGAAATGGGGAGGACTGCTTTTCCATTCCTTCGCCCAGATTCTCTGGTTGCCTTTTATAGTCTTTAAACGCATCAGGGCCTGCACTCCTAAGAGGGACAATGATACAAACATGCTGACTCTGGGGTTGTCCCCAGTACAGCAAGGCACAGAATATGGCTCTCTGACCTTCTGTTCCAGCCATCGCTGTGTGACCCTATGATGCTGCCTACAAGTCTGATCACCCAACTTGGCAAGCATCCCGGAGACTTGGAGAAGGTCTAGGGAGACAGAGGCACAGAGGCCTCTTCTCCTGGGCAGGCTGACGTGGTCTGAGTCACATGGGGAGGGAGCCATGACAAAAGCGGGCGTGGGTCTGCTCTCTCGAGCCCACTATGCTTGGCTGAGAGGCATGATAGCAAGCACAAGCCCCGGAGGGAGAACCAAAGCAGCAGTGAAGCTTCGGGCTGTTCAGACTGAGATTACAAATGAGTTCTAGTCAGTGTGAGAGACCGATGGCTCTGCCCAGAGGACCCACCGAGGAACCAGGCAGAGCCCTCCCCACATGGAGAATCACATGTCCTCCCCCGACTAGCTTGTGTGGCACTCACTGTCCTGTCAGGATACACCGAAGTGGAACGTGGCTTGAATTTTTGGAAAACAATCTTTTAATTGGAAAACTTTGAGTGTTTTCCTTGGTTCTCTTTCCAAATCACTTTTTAAAAAAATATATATTTTATTGACTTTTTACAGAGAGGAAGGGAGAGGAACAGAGAGTCAGAAACATCGATGAGAGAGAGTCATCGATCAGCTGCCTCCTGCACGCCCCCCATGGGGATGTGCCCGCAACCAAGGCACATGTCCCCTACCGAAATCGAACCCGGGACCCTTCAGTCCGCAGGCTGACACTCCATCCACTGAGCCAAACTGGTTTCAGCTTTCCAAATCACTTATAATGAGAATATGTTTTTCTTTTAATTAAAAAAAACCACACACACTAAGAAAGGAAGATCAGGACTAGCTCCCCCAGCTGATGGTGTTTTCCGCAGTTATATCTCAGGAGGGCTCATCCTTTAGACTAATTCCAATGACCAAGTATGGGAGCAAGAGTATTCCGGAATTTCCCCGTGAAGGAATTTAGAATCTTGAAAAGAAAGCAAAGCTAGCATATACCAGCGATTCAGCAGCAGCCCAGACAGCATTTCTGAGTCCCAAGCGCATGCTGAAGGCTTAGGAAGGCAGGTGGGCCAGGGTGAGGGCTCAGCTCCTGTCTGCCTTTGGCACATGAGTTCCAGGGAAAGGGTTTGGCTCCCGCCTTCCTGGAGGAGAGCTATCTTCCTGGCCTCTTGTTTCCTCCAAGTTTAGTTGGTTTCTGGCCCCTCCTCACCAGCGTGGGTACCAGGAGGGGACGCTGGTGCCATAACTTCTGTGGTCAGTGCTCAGGCTGCTGCACTGGCCTGTTTCATTGCCTTCCCCTCCAGCCGGCACTGTTCATGGCCACCGCTGCTTCCCAGCCAGGTCGATGCTCCTAGACCCCGAGGCTGGGGGGGTGGGCCTCCCTGCTGTGCCCGGTGCTGAGTAGGCTGGAGATCCCTCCTCCATGAAGCCACCATGCATCCTGCCTGCAGCCTCCTGGCCCAAGACACTCACCTCATAAGGGAGCCACCTCTGAGGTTCTGGCCCTGCTCATCTCTGGTCTTCAGTCCCCCCAACTCCCTGTCCAGCCTGACTCATCCCCGAGTTCTCACTGGCAGCCAGTCCGCTCGCAGGCCAAGCAGGGTTGGCAGGAATCTCCTGGCCACCTCACTCCCGAGCTGTCCTCTGTCTCCATGAAACCCATCTCCCGTTGGATCTTGAGTGCCACCTTCTTGGGTTTGGCTCCAGACTGTCATCAGCAGCTCGAGGCCACCACAAGCGCCTGGTTACTCTCAACATGACTGCTCGCCTGGGATGTCTTCAGACACTCCCAGGTCGTGGTCTCCTGGAGCGCACTGGCAGGGCTGCGGGACCCTAAGTGTGACATCAGAGCTTTGCACGCAGGGCCACCAGGATGCCATTTTTCTTTCCAGCGCTCTCGGTGGGCACACGCTCACGAGCCCAGTTCACCTCAGAGGTGACTGCTCCACCCTGTGCCTCCCGTATGCGGAGCTCCAGCGGCATCGCTTCACCCAATGCCGGTGTCCTGGAGGTGGCCCCAGGTGTACTCCCGTCAGGGGCCCTCCTGCCCTCTCTGAGGCTGGGCCAGTCCCAGCCAACGTGGCTTCCCAGCTGGCTCTGACACACTGGCATCACTGCCCACCCAGGGCCAGCCTACATGTTGGTAGTCTGAAAGCTTGGAGGGCTGGAAGCATTTTTCTAAATCTGTTGAGATCTTGCTTCCAGATGTATCTTCTGTTTGGCTCAGATAAATCTTTATAAAGCTTCTCTATAGGTTTGGACATTCTTACATCTACAACTGAGCAGGCACTTTGCTAAACAATGAACATAAATCTCCATCATCAGACCTTCATGCGGAGCGCACACGGAGCCAGACTTCGGTGCGGCTCCCTCTCCCTTCCTCCTCCTCGTTCTTTCTCGGTGTCCTTTCCTCCTGAGGCAGTGCCAGGCTTCTCTGCTCCGTGGTGATGACGTTTCCTTTTGGAAAACATTATCGCTATTTTCTATTTTCTATGTAAGAAAAGACAGGCTCAGAAAGGCTAAGGAACTTGCCAAAGGTCACACAGTGAGTGAGAAGCCTTAATGCTATTTGAGGTAATCTGACTTCCCAGGCCGCATGTTTAACCGGTTACACCAGACTAAGGATGAGTAACGAGTTCTTACACCTCCCAACACGTGGGCTCACAGGAGTGGTAGAAATAAACACATTAAAAATAAAAGAACTTGGAAGGCTACCTCTACACAAGTTTGTAAACCCAGAATAATTTCAAGTAAACATAACCCTTCTCTGCTGTGGCTGTGGGGAAATGAGCTTGGAATCAGAGTCATGCAGATCTGGACACGGGCTCCCAGCTCTGCTTACTAGGTCTGTGGCTTAACCACGACACTAGGCCTTCTGAGCCTCAGTTCTTCGTGTGAAATGGGGAACACCGTGCCCCTCCCTGGCTTCTGTGGAGACGAATGGATCACACACATAGATGCTGCCATCTGCTGGCCCTCAGCACCTCGGCAGGCCTCACCTCACACCCTCTCTCCGGGACATCTCCATCTTCAAACTGTGCTCATGGCACCGTCATGGGGAAACGTTTTGCCTTTTTTTCATATAACATTTCCCTGCACTCATTTTTCCATATTTGATTTCTCTTTTTCATGGTGGCATTCCCGTTGGGAAAATGTAGCATAAACTCTTTTTAGTTGCGCACAGGTTGCTTTCTTGTCTGTATGCTAACTTCTGCCAAACCAAGTTGTGCAGGGCCTGCCCTGGGGTGCAGGGCTGGCTCCTCCTCTGTACTAGCCACCCTCCCGCCCCCCACCTCCTCACCCCCACCCCCTTGCTCACGCCCAGGCAGTGCACAGGAAGCCACAGGAGGCCGGATCCCATTGGGCAGTGCAGACTTTTTTTCTTTGTATTGTTTTTGTTTTTTATTAATCCTCACCTGAGGATATTTTTCCTTTGATTTTTAGGGAGAATGGGAGAGAGAAGGAAAGACAGAGAGAAACACTGATGTGAGAGAAACACATGGATTGGTTGCCTCCTGCATGAGCCCTGACCAGAACCCAGGCAGGGGAGGAGCCTGCAAAATAACTTTCCCCTGGTACATGCCCTTGACTGGAATCAAACCCAGAACCTTTTGGTCTGCAGGCTGACGTTCTGTCCACTGACCCAAACTGGCCAGGGCGGCAGTGCGGACTTTTAATTACTTTTTTTCACTCTTTGGCTAGAGGTATATAAGGTTAAAGGTGACAAGCTATTGAGGGGTTTTTGTCTTTTGGGTTTTTTATTTTACTAAAGTAAGAGTTATCATGGTATTTGTGGAGCTTTTCTTTTTCCTTTAATTGTGAGTGAGGATAATTTTCTGACGTGTTTGCTATTCAGTAGTTTACTGACGGAATTTTTCTAGATGTTACCTTCTCTGTAGATACTGACTTATGAAGTAGTATTGGTTCCTTGTGAATTTGTGGAGTACCAATTGGTCTTCGGCATGTACAGTTCTCTATTCCATTAATAATTAAATTAAATTAATTTAATTTAATTTGAGTTTTATTCCCTGTTCCTCTTGGGAAGTCTTCAGTTTATATGGTTTAACCCATCCAGTCTGCTTCGGCACTTAAGGCTTTGCAGTTGAGAACGGCTGCTGCCGCCCCCACCCCCCGGCGGCGCTTTGCCTAGGAGTCACGCGTGTGTTCTCCGCGCAGGTGTGCCACGTGAACCTGGAGGGGCAGCCGTTCTACTCCAAGAAGGACAAGCCCCTGTGCAAGAAGCACGCGCACGCCATCAACGTGTAGCGGCCCGGCGCGGCCGGCGGGCAGGCGCCAGCGATGGGGAGGAGGCCGCCGCCGCCGCCGCCGCCGCCGCCGCTGCTGCTGCTGCCGGAGGGGCGGGCGGGCGGACGGACGGACGGACGGACGGACAGACAGCCGAGCTCTTCTGCAGAACCACTAGTCTCTGCGCAGGGTGTGTGTGTGCGTAGATTCACGGCAGAGACCAACCCAGGCCTGGACTGCACTGCGGCCGCTTAGACACAACTCTGAGGACAAATGGCCAACTTTCCCCGCGGGGGCTCCTCCTGCGGCCACAGAGCCCGGCCGGAGGGGCCAAGCCCGCTCCGGCTCAGGCGGGTCCTCACCGGGGTCTGTCTGTCCTCACCGGGGTCTGTCTGTCCTCACCGGGGTCTGTCCTCACCGGGGTGTGTCCTCACCGGGGTCTGTCTGTCCTCACCGGGGTCTGTCTGTCCTCACCGAGGTCTGTCCTCACCGGGGTCTGTCTGTCCTCACCGGGGTCTGTCCTCACCGGGGTCTGTCTGTCCTCACCGGGGTCTGTCTGTCCTCACCGGGGTCTGTCCTCACCGGGGTCTGTCTGTCCTCACCGGGGGTCTGTCTGTCCTCACCGGGGTCTGTCCTCACCGGGGTCTGTCCTCACCGGCGGGGTCTGTCCTCACCGGCGGGGTCTGTCCTCACCGGGGTCTGTCCTCACCGGGGGTCTGTCTGTCCTCACCGGGGTCTGTCCTCACCGGGGGTCTGTCTGTCCTCACCGGGGTCTGTCCTCACCGGGGTCTGTCTGTCCTCACCGGGGGTCTGTCTGTCCTCACCGGCGGGGTCTGTCCTCACCGGGGTCTGTCCTCACCGGGGTCTGTCTGTCCTCACCGGCGGGGTCTGTCCTCACCGGGGTCTGTCCTCACCGGGGTCTGTCCTCACCGGGGTCTGTCTGTCCTCACGGGGGTCTGTCCTCACCGAGGTCTGCCTGTCCTCACCGGGGTCTGTCCTCACCGGGGTCTGTCCTCACCGAGGTCTGTCCTCACCGGGGGTCTGTCTGTCCTCACCGGGGTCTGTCTGTCCTCACCGGGGGTCTGTCCGTCCTCACCGGCGGGGTCTGTCCTCACCGGGGTCTGTCCTCACCGGGGTTTGTCTGTCCTCACCGGCGGGGTCTGTCCTCACCGGGGTCTGTCCTCACCGGGGTCTGTCTGTCCTCACCAGCGGGGTCTGTCCTCACCGGGGTCTGTCTGTCCTCACCGGGGGTCTGTCCTCACCGGGGTCTGTCCTCACCGGGGGTCTGTCCTCACCGGGGTCTGCCTGTCCTCACCGGGGTCTGTCTGTCCTCACCGAGGTCTGTCCTCACCGGGGGTCTGTCTGTCCTCACCGGGGTCTGTCCTCACCGGGGTCTGTCCTCACCGGGGTCTGTCCTCACCGGGGTTCTGTCCTCACCGGGGTCTGTCTGTCCTCACCGGGGTCTGTCCTCACCGGGGTCTGTCCTCACCGGGGTCTGTCCTCACCGGCGGGGTCTGTCCTCACCGGGGTCTGTCTGTCCTCACCGGCGGGGTCTGTCCTCACCGGGGTCTGTCCTCACCGGGGTCTGTCCTCACCGGGGTCTGTCCTCACCGGCGGGGTCTGTCCTCACCGGGGTCTGTCTGTCCTCACCGGGGGTCTGTCCGTCCTCACCGGCGGGGTCTGTCCTCACCGGGGGTCTGTCCGTCCTCACCGGGGTCTGTCTGTCCTCACCGGGGGTCTGTCCGTCCTCACCGGCGGGGTCTGTCCTCACCGGGGGTCTGTCCGTCCTCACCGGCGGGGTCCCGGAGCCGGAGGGCGCGGCGGCCTGGCTTGGGGCTCAGACTCGCAGGCCGCTCCTCCGGCCCCGCCCGCCCGCCGGAGGCTGAGCCCCTTCGGACCCGCCCGGAAAGGGACTGGGTTTCCCGGCTCCGCTTTACCCGCGTGAGAGACCGAACCCGCCCGTTCTGTGAGGCCCCGGCTCCGCGGCCGGAGGCCCCCGCCCCGCAGCCGCCCCCAGCTCCGCGGGAGCGGGGAGGCGGCGCGGAGGGTGCGGCTGGCGGGGTGCCCACACCCGGGCGGCGAGGGGCCCCACAGGCCGCTCCGGTCGGAAGGCGGCGGGCAGGCCTCCCCGTGCTCCTGGGACCCGGGCCGCCGGGGCTGGAAGGGAGGGGGACGGACACACTAGTGGCGAACGTTGAAAATGTATAAGCTGGGTTGATCAAGCAATTGCTTGTAAATATTGATTAAAATAGGCCTTTAGCAGTAGGCTGACAGCACCTCGGAGCCGCTGGGGAGACAGAGCAGCTGGTGCGGAGCTGGAGCCGGGGTCTCCCCTGGGGCTGCGCGTCCCGCTCGCCCCGGGCAGGGCCCCCGCGGAGGCTGCCGCGCCCTCAGCTCCGCCCTCCCGCCCGCACCGAGGCCCCCCCCCCTCCCCCAACACACACACACACACACACACACACACACTGACGCCGTCCGTGCGAATGCCTCAGACCTCCAAGCCCTGCGCTTCCGGGGACTTGCTGCCATTAAGTCCCTTCTTCCCGAGAGGGGGAAGCAGCCAGGTGTGTCCCTCGCAGGAAGCCCGTGTTTCATTCCCAGGTGACCCTCCAGCCTCCCCCAGCACCAGGAGGGACACAAGTGAGCTCCTGCCAGGCCCTTACTCAGTGAGAAAGCCCAGGCACAGGCGTGCCTGCAGGTTTTGCAGGAGCTGCAAACAAGTACCTTGGAGCATTCTGTTATTTTTGGAAAGTTCAAAGGCACAGGGACAAGCAAGTTGCAAACTGTGCAGAAAGGCTCTAGGCAGCTTTCTCTAAAAGAAAACAAAGCAAAATAAAAACAAGACAATTAAATGATCAGGGACTGATCATGAGGAGAGGAAAAAGTTCCCTAGAATTGTTTCCTAAAATATCTTTTAAAATGGTACACACACACGTGTGATGATTAAAAAAGTGTGTGATCATGGAAAAGTGAAACATCTCAAAGGAGAACGTCAGAATCCTTTATTGAATCGGTGTTTCTACATCTCAGAGCTAGGGTAGATTCTGAGGAACTCTTATTTGTCAGAACACAAAACAGAAAGTTTTGGGGGGCAGCAGGGAAAGGAGTGGTTTTGAACTCGGTTTCTTGGCGTTTCTAGGGTTGGTGTGGCCTCCGTGTGAAGGCTGAGTCTACTTCAGGTTCACACCATGGAGAGCCACACACTAAAGCAGCTTCTGATAGTCTGGTGCGGAGCACACTTTGGGTCTGCAGTCTCCGTGTTGGTATTGTTCACATTTATTTAACACTTATAAACACTGACTCTGCGACAAAGTGACTTAGGCTTGCAGTGTTTGGGTTAGGAATCTAGCTTTTCTAATGTTAACTTTTCAACACATACCTTTTTTTTTTTTTTTGCTTTGGGATTTCTTTTTTAATTTTAGGATTTCAGAAGTGGAATGAAGTGTGTTAGAAGTGTGCACAAAACTATTTGGCATGGTTTTTGTTTTGGTTTTTCTTGCCATGTTAATTCTACTTTTTAGCAAAATAAAACTTCCCTAAGACTGCAAAAACAGTTTTCTGTGTGAAGTGTTTCATGAGACACCAAAAGCAGGGTTTTCTGTGTGGCCACAAAAGCAGGGTTTTCTGTGTGGCCACAAAAGCAGGGTTTTCTGTGTGGCCACAAAAGCAGGATTTTCTGTGTGGCCACAAAAGCAGGGTTTTCTGTGTGGCCACAAAAGCAGGGTTTTCTGTGGCCACAAAAGCAGGATTTTCTGTGTGGCCACAAAAGCAGGGTTTTCTGTGGCCACAAAAGCAGGGTTTTCTGTGGCCACAAAAGCAGGGTTTTCTGTGGCCACGAAAGCAGTCTGGGAGGGTATGAAATGCCCGGGAGGAGCAGCCACGGCCCTGTGCTGCCCGGGGCCCCAGGAGCACACACTGCTCACAAAGCGGAATTTCCAGGTAAATGAAGCCCAGCCCTGGCCTTTCTCTTGGAAAGGTTTATTTATTTAGCTACTTGGTGGTTAAAAAGTTCATATTTACTTTTATTCTGCTCTACATGGCTTCATATCTTAAAAAGTTGCTATATTTTCTTCCATATCTTTAGTTTTGAAATAAGCTCAGAGAAAAATCCTCTCATGGCATTAAGAGCAAAAAGATCTCTCTGGCTGAAACTGGTTTGGCTCAGTGGATAGAGCTTCAGCCTGTGCCTGCGAACTGAAGGGTCTAGGGTTTGATTCTGGTCAAGGGCATGTACCTTGGTTGTGGGCATATCCCTAGTAGGGGGTGTGCAAGAGGCAGCTTATCGATGATTCTCTCTCATCAATGTTTCTAACTCCCTATCCCTCTCTCTTTCTCTCTGTAAAAAAATCAATAAAATATATATTTTTAAAAACCTTTCTGAGGTACTTGTAGTTAACAAAACCAACTCTTTTCCAAGGTATTCTGTTTCTAGGCATTACCTGAAAAGAAAGGACATTTTCATGATTTATTTGTGAGCATCTAAATCATATTTTGAAAGAGCTGTGCCATTACAAGTAGAAAGAAAATCTCATTATTTTAGTACATTTTAAAGCTATAGCTGTTTCTAAAATCAGTGAGGGAGGAATTGGAGTTTGGGAGGGATCTCAGAGATCACCTGGACATCCTCCAGATCCGGGGAGGCGGGGCTGAGGCCCAGAGGGAATGGCTTCCCAGTATCCACCAGCCAGGGATGCAGTGGGAGCAAGAGAAGAAACGTGGACTTGACATGGTAAACCAGGCAAATAGCAAGGCTGATCTAATTCTACCTATGTGAGTTGGCACAGTCCCTCCAAGCCTGCCTCTCCCTGAAAATGAGGCGTTAATACCTGCCTCACAGTGAGAGTTTGAGAACCACATGCAATAACTTTTGGAAGAAAATTGCAATACAAATGTTAGTTATTATTATCACCGATAAAGTAGGGTCAGAACCCAAGCCTTCATTCCTGCTTCATTTTCTTAACTCCTCCAACTTCTCCATCCAGAAAGAAATCCACTGGGAAAATCAGTAGCGAGAATAAACTCCACTCTTCTATCAAACGTGAAGTTCTTGCTCCTAGCCAGTTTGGCTCAGTGGTTGGAGTGTCGAACTTCAGAC